GTGACGAATTACACTGTGACTTTAAAATATGACGGATTTGTTTAAAAACCGCATACTAATATTCATGTCAAATCCAACCCCCAGCACTCAGATATATCGTTAAATAACTTGTAAACGAAGCGTTTTAGGGTCATAAAAATTAAGATATGACTATCACGAAAAGCGAAAGGCTAAGAATATTGAATAATTACTTCAAAAATTTTCAAGGAAGTGTTGTTAATTGTTCTAAAAAATCTCTCGATAATACTGAATAAATATTTATTGAAAATTTCTTTTCAACATCAGTTGCATTGTTTTTTATTTTTGATATTGTATTAGTACATTGAAAGGTACCTTTATACATATTCAAACAAATATATACGTTTCGTTAACAACTTTCTCTCCTAAAATAGGAGGAAAAGGAAGAGTGTGGAGTTTAACATGTGCGAGTTCTCGCGAAGGTACGTGGAGGTAGTAGGGAAAAAACTTGTGCAAAGGCACAAAATAAGGAACAAACTTTTTAAACTAAATAAAGTAAGATAGCTTGAAAGAAATTAACAGCAAGAATCCAAACGCGCTAGCCTACAATTATACGCGAATGAATTTAAAAGAGTAAACAAATTTAAAATTATAGAAAGAATAGCGCAAGTAACTCGACAACTGCCAATGATCACAATCCAGAGGCACGATTTACATGTTGGAGGTATCTGGAAGTCTGTACATCAATGATCTGCGGAAAACTCATATTGTAAATACTATACCGTTGTTATTAAACTTAGAGACGGTTCGCTAAGACATTCAATATGTAAACATCGTTTGAGCAATGTTTGTACCCCATGCACCGAAGTGAAGTCTCGGCCTACTGAATTTTTTATAATGGTAACAAATGGTATTTATTACTCATAGGTGAATATTAGTTTTATTATTTTTTGGCTCAGAATTGCTTTTCGTGAAGCACGTAAGAACGCAAAAAATAATCCAAAACCCCCTCTTTTCTTCATAACAAATCCAGAAAAGTTAAACGATATTACAAAGAGTAGGGTTGAACTTGCCCGTTCCCGTATTTTCGCATAGAAAACTTTACTTGGATTCCTCAAGAGTAAAAACAATTTCTAATATTTTTGTGTCTATTAAGGAAAGCAAAAAGCTAACTGTCAAGGAAGATTTGACAATTACTCCAAAAGTTGTTTTTAAGGAAGTGTGAATTGTTCGAAGAACATATCTATATAATACTGAATAAACCTTTATTGAAGATTTGTTTACAACATCAATTGTTTTTATATCTGATATTCTATAAGTGCGAACATTTATACATTTATTTAACAAAAAACATGTTTCATTAACAACTTTCCTTCTTAACGGCAACGATAGGGAAATGGATAAGGAAAGGGTAGGCATTAACATGTGAGAGATGTTGCACGGGTACGCCAGTTTAATTTAATTATAAAAAGTAACACATTCCGTGGTGGTAGCAGATATCTTGTGGCAATCCATAGTATGGTAAAGGAAATAATCTCCACAAAAGTTTTAATAATTTTCATTAACAATTTTCCGGAGTTAACTTTCGGGAAACACTTTTTCCATCCTCAGTGGATCTCTAGCAAAATGGGGAAATGAAACATTAAAATATGTTGAACACAAAACGGGGGGGAGGTACAGTGAAATTTAGTGGAAAAACAAATAATATCATATAAATACAAATAGAAAGTTCTTACTGCTCAAGCAACGTGGATCTCCCATGAATGTTCACAAATGGTCAAAAAATGTAAAGTGGCAAAACATGCTGGTTACAGCTGGGTGGCAGCCATCTTTTGGAATGGGAGAACAGGAAGCCTAACAAGACCGTTTCACATTTTTTGACCTTGTTGTGAACATTCATGGGAGATCCACGTTGCTTGGGCAAGATCCACTGAGGATGGGAAAAGTGTTTTCCCGAAAGTTAACTCCGGAAAATTGTTAATAAAAATTATTATAACTTTTGTGGAGATTATTTCCTTTACCATACAAAAGTAACACAATTTAAATGTAGTGTGTTCTTCCAAATAAAATGATAGTTCACGGATAATTTTGATTGTCCAGGCTGAGATTGTTTCCAACCACTAATCGAAGAGCTTGTTTGTTTCTCTAGAGAGATCAGTGTTGACAATATTTTTTTTTGTTTTCTGCAGACAATGATTTTATTTCTCAATGTAGAATCCTAACCATAGCTTGTATTTATTTGGTGGCTTTTCCTATTTGTTAAGAACATTTTCCATTGTTAATGTTATAATAGCCCATCCTTTGCGGTAAAATGGATGTGTTTAGTGTACATGATTGTAATTTTCTTTAAAAAGCTACGGTTGGGAAGTGTATTGTTTCTGTAATAGCTAAAACTTGAACACACAACTTTGTAGGTCGGGTAAGTAGATTGTGATCTAATAGGTCTCCACAGAGTATTTCAGATTTGGGGACTTTTGCAACAGTGAATGTTGAACGATATTGTTATCTTCACGTACTTCATAATTAGTATCGTCGTTCACTTCTGTACGATTTATATAGCTTTGGGATCAAACTACCATTTAGCTGTGTATATGAATCTATTTCAAAAATTAAAACTATTCTCCCTATTATCATATCTACTTGACAAACTATTTCACAAAAGAAACGCTATTTTAAAATAGTTGATTTGAATACGTCACTCACCACAAGTGCCGCCAAAGCGAGCAGGAGAGCACCCAAGATGGTGTCCATGACTGTTCATCTGTGAATGCTGTGTTCAAAACTCGAAGAAAATTGCAGGAAATGTGAGTGCAGCTGTTCGTGATTGAACTTGCATAGGTCGTCCACCACACGCGAGCTAGCATTGATACTAGTAGCAACAGTTAATCAGATCAGTTGGCGCACGATTGTTTTTTTTCTTTATTTTTCTTCATTTTGTAATTCGTTTGTACACGTACATCAAGGAAAATCCGGACATACCTAATGACGGAGCATCAATGGAAAAACAGACAGATGGATGGTCGCAGAGCGCCCCCGTCCAATCCACAAGTGGATCGCCACCGTGGAACAGTCATGTGGCTCTATCTCGCGTCAAGAAAGAGAACTCCTTCTACCCGCCCCAACTATTGGGCGGGAAATGTGTATTTTGTCCCATAATACACTGCAACGCCATGGAGCGCCCGACGAGGAAGTTCTATCAAATTCTATAAAGATAATACAGGACACCTTGGACTTTTCTCACACTGTTAATGGGAAACAACTGCTCCTTACCAAACCTTGTGACGTATTCTGGAAAATCGCCGACAAATTCAAATTTCAGTACATGTGCAATTCCTTCTGTAGTTATCTAGTTTGTAATAAACCTATTATGTACATTATTTTTGTAATTATTGTTAGTCTATTATCATTTTTATTTTTTGTATGTATATATTAAATTTTATATTTTTGGAATATAAATGTTCATGCACGGCACTACAAGCAATACAAATCAGTTATTAGATAATTTATTATGTGCATTTGATTAGAGAATGATAAGTATTAATGGAATAAATACAACTTTCGCATCCCAAGGGAACAAAAAAAAACATTCTTCTCAGCTTTATAATTTGTGCATACAGCACACAGTTCCAGCCATTTCAAAAAGTTTCTAACGACCAAATTTTTGTCTGCGGCAAATTTCATTGCCGCAATAGGTCCAGGATATCTGTTAGGTTTTCTAACCGATAAAGAAGTTACATATTTCGAAATATTCAATGTTTTAGTTTTCGCTGCATGTGTGACAGATTGTGAGTGAGTCAGAGATGTTCAGCCCTATTCATTGTTGCATTTTCCTGGGTCATGAGTTCAAGGTCCTCGAAAATGCACCGAACTATGAATATATAAAAGAGAAAATGGTGTTATATAATGTGTTCAGTAGTATTTCTTCCAACTGCAAATGTCATGAGATTCGCAGTGACCTTATCCATACAATATTTAGAAACCGCGTCGTGTAATATACATCAAATTATAATTTATGTCGGGTTACTACAACACATACATCCACACTCAGTGAACCAAATTAAATTATTTTACGTGATATGCATACGTGGATTACAATTGATATATAATAGTAAAAAGTATTTACTTCTTTTTACAGTCATAGTTTAAATTTATACCGATATTTTTTTCTCAAAACTTCCTGCATTATCAATGGTCTCATTGTTTTCTTTTATTTAAAATATTATGTATTGTTATCACTTTTGTATTAAAGATGGATCCGAATGCTTCCACTACGAAACATTGTACACTTAATTCAATAATTGTTTTAAAACCGTATATATTATAAAATCTAAATGATGCTGAAAAGCATAAATTTATCGATCATAGAATTTGATGATCTGCGGAAATTTGATATTTTCTATAGAATTAACTTTAAAAACCGTAATTACCAATATTTTTTACAAAATAATTTCGTCATTTACATAATTTACAATCGATATATACCAACCATTTCTTCACAAATTTATTAAGTCTTCTTATTGCATCAGTATGAGTAGTACATACGGGAGCATTGGTTAAATTCAGAATGCATTTCAGCCGCATGTAAGCACTGTCGGGACAATCAGCATTAAGAAACTTGTGGCGCTACAACAGCACATACTCTCTCGTATTACTTGTGACTTTCGCAATTTTCAAAATTTCAGACATCAACGAAAATAAGATCTCCGTTTTTCGTATTCTCAAGCATCACGTTTACGCACATTCTACGCGATAAAAAAAATACTTGCAGCCTTTTTGAGATTTTTTTAAAAATTGCCTCTACTTTGACAAATATTATGCAAAATCATTCGGAAAAAAATTCTGGAAAATTAGATCTGTTTGAAAGAAAATGGATTCTAAATTTCCATGTATACAGTATACATGTTCGTAGTCTTCCATTGCTTTAATACAATTTATAATTTTCTTTTTGTTTCTTAATAATTGAAATTGATGCACAGAGAGAGCTCATCATGATTAAAGATACGAATCTTTGGTGCTTTTATCTCTTTTTTTTTTGCGTATAGGTCAACTCGGATCACGCGTGCATCCTGCTGTACGAAGAAGTTGGAGATATGGCTAGAGTGGAAAACCCAAAACCACTGCAAACGCCGTATCCACATCCAGTGGCGGCCGCAAACTCATGTCCGATTACCTTGTTTACTGCGGAAGGGAGCTGCCTGGTTCACGCCGTGGCGACTCACACGACGCGCATCAGTCGCGAATTCGCTGCACTGACCATGGGCACCGTCGCGTCGAACGCCCCGCAGCACAGGCTGACGCTGGCGCTGGCGCTGATGTCGCTTTCGCTTCAGCCGCCACTCGCCCCGCCGGCCCCCGCCGCCGCCCGCCCCCCGCCCCGCCCCCCGCCGCCCGCCCCCCGCCGCTGCCCCCGCCTGCCGGCCCCTGCCGCCGCCCCCGCCACCCCCGCCGCGCCCCGCCGCCACGCCCCCGCCGCCGCCGCCCCCGCCCGCCGCCCCCCCCGGGGGGGGGGCCCGAGGCGCCGCCGCCCCCGCCGCCGCCCCCGCCGCCGCCCCCCGCCGCCCCGCCCCCGCCGCCGCCCCCGCACGACCGCCCCCCGCCGGCCCGAGCCCCCGCCGCGCCGCCCCCGCCGCCGCCCCTCGCCGCCGCCCCCCGCCGCCCCGCGCCGTCCGCCCCCGCCACCGCCTCCCTCCCACCCCCAAGGATCCTACGGGCGCCAACTCCACGGGC